TCTCTCTCTCTCTCTCTCTACTACGTAACAATACAACGATACTCGTCCGTACGAACAACTACTCTACTTAACTACCCACCCCACCACCCCTTACCTCTCCTACTAACCTACCACCCTCCTCCACGTCGTCGTCCACTCTCTCTCTCTCAACGTACTTCTTCGTCCCGAAACCTACTCCACTCCTACTCCACTACCTCCTCTCTCTCTCTCTCTCTCTCTCTCAACATGGCCCCAATTCTCCTCCTTGGTCCCCCAGAAGTTCACCTCCCCAAAAACCCAAATTCCAGCAATCCCCATCATGAAACCCTGAAATCTGGCTACCCCCAAAACAAAACCCAAAATACCAGTGACCCATTCATGGACCTCCTAAACCAATACTCTGGGAAAGTGCTCATGGGTCGAACTGAAAACAACTCTGCCACCTTCCTAACAACTGGGAACCCATGCCTTGACTTCTTCTTCCACATTGTTCCCAATACTCCGCCTGAAAAAGTCACTCACCTTCTCTCTCTGGCTTGGAATCATGATTCTCTGACTACCCTCAAACTCATTGCTCAGCTCCAAGGAGTTCGAGGACAAGGCAAATCAGATCGAGAAAATTTTTACACAGCTGCACTGTGGCTTCACCAAAACCACCCAAAAACCCTAGCCAAAAATATCCACTTCTTTGGGGAGTTTGGATATTTAAAGGACTTGCCTGAGATCCTGTTTCTACTGATTGAAGGACATGATGCTCGAAAACTAAGAAGAGAAGAGCACCAACGAAGGAAGAGTGAATCAAAGAAGAAATATGCATTTCGCTGGATATTCCGCCGACGGAGAAGGATCAAAATATTCCCGAGTCGTAGACAGAAAACGGCAAATCCAGTCAAGAAATCGAACCGCCCAAGAGAAGATCGTGTGGCTGAGGCGCTTGCGAAGGGCAGGGCTTTGAAGGCCAAAGCCAAGGAAGAGAAAGAACAGAAGCAGTTAAGACATGCAAGAAGAGCATTGGAGAGGTATAATTCTGACCCCCAATACAGATATCTCCATGATAGGATTTCAGAAACTTTCGCCAACTTATTGGCCTCTGACCTAAACCATACAAATTCTGGTAATACCAAATCCCTGAGCCTCGCAGCCAAATGGTGCCCATCTTTGGACTCTTCGTATGATCGAATAACCCTAATTTGTGAGAGTATCGCAAAGAGGATCTTCCCTAAAGACTCAGACCCTGAATACAAGCTTTTAGAGGAGAGGTATTATGCCTACAGGGTTCGAGATAGGCTGAGAAAAGATGTGCTCGTGCCTCTTCGAAAAGCCCTTCAGCTCCCCGAAATCTATATGAGCACAAATCGATGGAGCACTCTACCTTATGATAGAGTAGCCTCAGTGGCCATGAAAACCTACAAGAAGCTCTTTCGAAAGCATGATGCAGAGAGGTTTGAGAGCTTTCTAGGAGAAGTAAAGAGAGGGGAGAAGAAGATAGCAGCTGGGGCTTTGCTTCCTCATGAGATATTGGCTTCTGGTGAAGACCAGGTGGCTGAGCTTCAATGGAGGAGAATGGTTGAAGACATGAAGAAGCACGGGAAGCTTAGCAACTGCTTAGCTGTTTGTGATGTTTCAGGATCCATGACAGGTACACCGATGGAGGTCTGTGTAGCCTTAGGGCTTCTGGTTTCAGATCTTAGCGAAGAGCCATGGAAGGGGAGTGTGGTAACTTTCTCATGCAATCCCCAAATACACAAAATTGAAGGGGAAACTATCTTTGAGAGAAAAGAGTTCGTGGAAAGAATGGAGTGGGGCTACAACACTGATTTTCAAAAGGTTTTTGATCTGCTTTTGAAGGTTGCAGAAAGCGGGGGGTTGGAGAGAGAGAAGATGATAAAGAGGTTATTTGTTTTCAGTGATATGGAGTTTGATCAGGCCTCTATGAGGAATTGGGAGACTGATTATATGGTGATAGAGAGGAAGTTCCGAGAGGGAGGATATGGGAAGCCTCCTCAGATTGTGTTTTGGAACCTTAGGGACTCGAGCTCTATCCCAGTTGTGAGTGGGCAAGAAGAGGTGGCACTAGTGAGTGGTTTTCAAAGAATTTGCTAGAGGGGTTCATGGATAATGGAGGAGAGATAAACTCTGAGCTCATAATGCAGGCTTCTATAACAGGGAAGCTTTTTGATAAACTAGTTGTCATAGACTGAACCAGCTTCTTCAACGTAAACAATTAAGGAATGACTTGAATGAAATGATTTTTATATTTTCCTGAGAAGCCTTGAATGAAATGAGATTTTTTAGTTGCTTCGCATTAAAAGAATCAAGGGAAACAATATAGTGAATATACTACAGAAGACTTTGTAGTTTATTGCTAAAAGACCACACAAAAAATCTTACTTCGAAAAGGAAAATCAAGGGAAACAGCCGAATACAGTTTAAAGAACCACAATATTAGAGAGCAGTACTTAAATGCTCACAGAACATATATTTATTGAAATAAGAAAAAGAGAGCCAAAGCCCACAAACATGCAGGATGAATAACACATACTTTGGTTGGTTTTATGTATGAATGACACACGAAGCCCTGCATACAGAACATAAATTGCTAAAACCCATCATTCTATCAGTTTTCTCAAATTCTCAAATTCTTGATAACAGAAGAATTTATAGGGAAATGTTATGTAGACAAATATTTCTTTTCAGTTTCACAAAACAAAGATTGATGGAACATGGGCATTCAATTGAATAAAATTGCATTCATTGAACGTTTTATTATCAGTAAAAAGAATTTTTATGGTAAGCAGAAAGAGATGAAGATGGGAAAGGACATCCCCTCCATCAGAAAATAGGATAAGGGCTCATTTCGCCTCAACTATAAGACTCATGTCCAACCATCCACTTTGTAGATCCTGATTCCAGGCCAGGCCTATGGGCCTGGTGGCAAGGCCAAGGTAAGTGGAATAAAAAGTAATTAATTCAAGGAACTAGGAAGTTACTCAAAAAAAAATAAAGATATCATAGCCATCTTAGAAAGAGAAGTTAGAAAGAGAAGATAGTGAGGCTTCTAATAGTAAAGGAATAAAGTGGGTAATAAACGAATAAAGAGAAGACAGATAAGAGGACCATGGGTGGAAACAGGTTTCTAACAATGAAGAGGAATATAGTGAGGATCCTCCACCGAGTTGACGCCCTCGTCGATCTTCTGTGCAAGTACTCTTTGATGATCCTCAAATTGCCAAAGAGTTGCCAGCTAGCCTCACTCTCTGGTAGTCCCTTCCACCTGACTAAATCGTTTTTATGCATAGCCACGCTTCGACTGCTGCTTACTCAATCAGCCAAGAAGCATTCGACCTCTTTCTCAAATAAGGTTCTGGTGTTTGGAGGTTACAGGTGGAATATTCCTTGTCTCGTCACCTTGGTCTTTATTATCAGGTGAGAGGATCATGGGTGGCAACAGGCTTCTAACAATGAAAAGGAATGTGTGAAAGCCATTCTGGGTGGGAAGGTCATAATTTTTGGGAAACCACTTACGATAGTTATTAATAACAAAGACAAAATCACATCTTAGTCTAGTCTAACTGGAGTTTACCTGGTCTTTGCTAATGTAGATAGCAGAAAATCAGTCTAGCAGAGGTTTAATATGAAACAAGACCACGGGTGATTGAATTCCATTGGTGGTAGAGAGAGAGAGAAAACTGGGATAACAGACGATTCATTTAAGAATATTAGTATATTGATGCCAAATAGTAGAGAAAAGGCTCCGATGATAATGATTACCAAATGTCGTAGAAAGCAGGTTTCAGCTGGACATGTTCGACTTGCAACAGAAAAATTCAAGTATCCAGCCAAAAATATGGTATCAGCAGGAGACTTTATGCTATATTAAACTCCATATATAGATGAAAGATGTCCGTCTAAACACGAAACTGTCAATAGATACAAAGTTTAATAATTGTAAACAGAACCAAATTCACAACTATGACAAGCTAATAAAGCACACTAAGTAACCAACAGAAGCAGGTAACAAGAAAAACTATTTTCTAAATGACCGAACAACCATATTTGAAGTCTTCGGCTGACCACCGTTCATATTGCAACATCATAGGTTTTGGGTTATTGCGACAAATGACCCCAAAGAACATCTGTGCTGGAACAAAATGTTGTGTATGTGGTTTGTACATGAGCAATATTAGGATACTAGAATGTGAAATATGGATCACAAAAGCAAGTCTCCATTGTTTCACCATCAAAAGTAACATAACTATGCTTGTCAAGAATCCAAAAAGTAAATCTTCAAGAATAAGTATTCTTGACTTTTCCCAGTGGTCTATACTTAATACCCATCACATATACCAAAAAAAATGCATACACAGGTCATATTTGGAACATGGTCATCACTCAACAGAATAAATAGTTAAGTACAAAACTACAATGTATGTTTATTAGTAGAGAGCCATGGGGCTTTGGGCTAGATTTTTATTTGAAAGCACAATATTCTCCTTATAGAATCCCAATAAATAACGTTTTCCCAAAGCAATTCTCTCCATATAAAGTCCTAATGATAAGATTCATATAGGTTTAAGATAATTTTTTAAAGAAAAAAATTTATATAAGGTTGAAACCTTAAGATATAGAAATAAAGATGCACCTCAAAAATTCATCAGAAAAGGTTGTTCTAATGTTGAAAAACCCTCTAATTGATCATTTCGACAGCGAGATGTATGAATATGAAAGAAAAAAACAAAGAAAAAAATATATATTCTGTCCCAGAAATAGTGCATCTTGCAACACATTATGTAGACCGCTCATTTTCAAGATTTTCATATGTTTATAGATCTACTTGATTTTAAACATTTTTGGAGTTTAAAATTTTATAATTAGATATGAAAATAGATTTTCAAATAATCATTTTTAAAGATTATGTTTAAGGATTATTCCGATCAAGTAAAAAGACAAAAAAGCCCCTGAATGTTTAAGGATTATTTCGATCAAGTTTTTATTTGAATTATTTTTTATTGTTATTCAGTGTGTCCTATAAAGATTATGTACACCTCAAATTTCATGTGGATCTAATTTGTAAAACAATAAAAAATGAAATCAACTAGTTGCCATCAAATCGGCCCAGATTCAATCTGAACCATTGGAATGGTGCTTGTGCACCCCTCAAGTGCCCACACAATGTGGATGCTATATTTTTCCTATTAACTTGGCCTAATGACTATTTCACTATCAATAATCTCCTCCATTAAAAAGGCCCACCATCTCAAGACCTCAACAGTTGGAGAACTTGCATAAACGTCACACCTACCCACCTACCAATCCACAGAATATTCACCTTTCCCAGACACTAATTTCTGGCACTTATCACCATAAAAACACATTTCCCATCACTCCGTTGATGGCCTGCCTAACTAAGGTCATCAACTTCTTTACCAAAGCCACCTGAAAACCATTAATGGACCGTGCAGAAAATCACTCTACCAAGGAAGCCACCAAAAACCCACCCATATGCCTCACACAAACCCACCCTTCGATCTTTCTATGACCACACCTTGATTTTTTATTCCATATAGTCCCCAATAACTCATCAAGAAAAACAACACACATACCTATAACTTTGAACCATTGTTCCCTCGCTACTTACGATGCACAATTACAGTTATAGATATGGCTGCAACATCAAAGGTTTGCAATTCAACATGGTTTTAAAGGTATCCGACATGGACAGAGCCCGCTTTGGAGTATCCATGCATCGTAGCTCACCAACTCTAAAACTCATATGCAAACTACAAATTGTTAGAAAATCATCATCATTATCCGAGCCATATCCCAATTATCTAGGGTTGGTTACATGAACTTGTTCCAACACATTCCACTCCATCAAGGGTCATACCCTCAATTAGACCATAAATCGCTATATAATGCAATATTAAAATTTACCGGCAAACAACACCAGCAAAATTAACTGCGTTTTAAGAGAGACAAATAAAAATCATGAAGGAAATCACAAAAAGAAAGAACAAAACACGCAGATATGAGTATTCTGACAGGAGCCACAAGAAAAGAAGAAGAAAAAACACCCACAAAGGTCACTCTCTCACACTCTACACAATCTCAAAGATCAATTTTTTTCATTCATAAAATTCAATCCCTCCATTACATGTATGTGTAACCCTTTTATATAAGGGTCCTTTCCAAAACTTTCTAAAAAATATATTCTCTTCCTTATCTAATAAGGGTGTACGCCTCTTAATGTTAGGATGTAAGCCGTCCATGCAACCTAAACAAATAATGTAACTCTTATCTCTTTAGGAAAGATAACCCATTAGGTCTCCCAACTCCTGTTAGAAAACGTAACTCCTATTGCTAAACGATATCTAAATAAACACTCCTATCCCTAATAGATGACTCCACCCTAAATGTTATATAGAGAAACAATCCCAAATACGTATTACCAATTCAAAAGGATAAACCTATCTCTAAGAGACTTACCTCTAAAACAAAGAGATTATTTCAAGTTAAAGATGGACTCTAAAATTAACGAACCAATCAAACTTAACCTAAAAATCCTAATTTTAATCATTAATCCTAATAAATAAAAATAAAAATCCTACCCAAACTCTAAAAATAAAAATAAAATTTGTAGCCACCAGATTTTGATCTGCATCATTCTCCTCTCGTTGGAGAAAATCCGTCCTCGAGTTTTAAAATGCACTAAGATAAAATTTGTAGTAGTCCCGCCGCCTTCTTCAGCCTGAATATTGACAAAACGATCCTGTGACCTGTGAGTTACTGCATAGATCAACAAGGTTTCCAAAAAAGCTAGGCGGCCCCTAGGCAGCCTGCCTAGCGACCAACGGCTAGGCGGGCGCCCAAAACCTCGAGCACCCCGTAGTCCGACATGGGCCAAAAGCCAAGGAGAAGAAAAAACACCCACAAAGGGAACTCTCTCACAGTCTACACGACCTAAAAGATCAATTTTTTTCATTCATAAAATTCAATCCCTCCATTACATGTTCGTGTAACCCTTTTATATAAGGGTCATTTCCAAAACTTTCTAAAAAATATATTACCTACATTGTCTATTAAGGGTGTACACTCTTAATGTTAGGATGCAGTCCCTTAATGTTAGGCTGCAAGCCCTCCATGCAACCTAAACAAATAATGTAACTCTTATCTCTTTAGGAAAGATAACCCATTAGGTCTCCCAACTCCTATTAGAAAATGTAACTCCTATTGCAAAATATTATCTTAATAAACACTCCTATGCCTAAT